CTCGAGGGCGCCGTACAAGACAGCCAACACCAACGCGTTGTCAGCGGGTTTTGGACCATCGCCCGCGTCCACCATAGCCGTTGCATTCGCCACCCCACTTCAGTAGGCAAGAGTGTCAACTTACGGAGGACGTCATGGTTGGATTGGGCCCGGTAGTTTTTGGTGCCGTTGGGGTGTTCCGTGATGCCGCAAGCACTGTGAAGGGCTTTGCGTGCCAATGATACGACCGTGCTGTCGATGACTTGGCGGTCCGTCTGGTCGAAAACGAAGCAGACGAGCGCACTGCGCGCGGTGCCGCAGACGAGACTCTTGAACAGGACGAACGTCCACCGTGCGTTGCGGCACCTGGCCCAGAGCTTGCCGAACCTGCAATGCGCTTGTCTGGTTGCTGCAGCACGGCGTTCACGCTCGACAAACAGGCCGTTGTCAAGTCGGAGGTGTGGTCCGAGATGCCGAATTGCTCGCTTGACCACGCAAGGCACGATGTTCGGGGTCGTGCATGCTGTCTTCGTGCGCGCGCCTGACCCTGCCCCGACGAACCTGACCAAGTTCTCCGCCTGGCCAGAGTTTTGCCGGTGCCCGCGCGGGTTGATGGCAGCGTTGAAGTCGTCGTGGAACGACCGAGCCTTCGTGGTGAAGTTCGCGAGCGTGGTGATGGACAACGCGTGCGCCGCGTCGTCCGCGCACGTTCTCCGAGTGACATCCATTGTCTGGGAGGCACGTGGTTTGCGTGAGACCTCGGGCATCCAATTGAATTTCTTTTTACTGGCGAACTTGCGCAGCCTGGGGTCATCCAGTGCATCGTGAAACGGCGACAACAGCCATGGCCCTGCCATTGTGCCCCCAGGAAGCATGCCCTGACGAACGTCAAGCTCCGCGCGCCCATCCAAACAGCGCGCTCTGGCTGAGGCATACTGGACGCACGCAGACAAGTGCCGGGCATCTGCGTCGTCGCAGACAGCCGCCGCGCACCCCTTGAGCTCTTCCTGGTCTGCGCGGGCAAAGGCGTTGGACATGTCCGACAAGGCAGTGGCGTGGGAGACGCAATTTGAAGCCAAACGCTCGCAGGGCGCTTTGAGACAGAAATGTCTGCTCGCGCCGCCGCCGCGGCGCGTGCGCGCACGCGTAGTGGCGACCAGCTGCTTGGCAAGTGCGCTTCCAGAGCACAGCGTAAAACGCTTTGCCGCACGCCTCCTAGATGTCAAGCGGTCGGCGCCCCTCGCGGCCCTCCTTCCGGTTGTTCTTCGGCAGTGCAAATTGTTCGCCGGTGTGCCAGGCGAAAGGGGTGCACCTCGTCGCCCCCATGCTTGCGTGCAGCAGGCGCATGGTGTCGTGAGACACCTTGGCCTCGATGCGATCGCCCCCGCTGCCCAGCCCCCGTGCGCGGCTCCGCCGGCGCTCTTCAGGGAACATGGGCGTGCGCCAAAAGGCCACAGGGAAAGATCCGTCTGTTAGAGTTTCTCTTCGGACGGCGGCTCGAGTCTGCGATGTGCCGCCCCAGGCCGCACCCGCTGCTCGTGACTCCATGCAATGGGGGCTGTAGGCTACATCTGGCAAGTGCTCGCGGCGGGCAGGCCGGCCGCTCGCCCACTGCATCCTCCTTCATGTCCTGGCTTGGAAAAATGCTCGACAGTTTTGGCAATCGTGAACAGCGGGGAACCAACAGCTGACAACTGCATTTTCTTCGGCCCAAGTGAACGACCCGATGATCTCTGTGAAATGCTCCGCACGGTGGACAACGATCTCCTGCCCCGCGCCTCCTCCAAGTCCCCCATAAGCGCCTGCGCCCTCTCCCTCTGGACAGCCCTCTTCCTCTGATTGACCCTTGTTGTCGTAGCCTTGGCGCGTTGTTTAGCTCGCTGCACATCTGGCACGCCCCCCCCCCCCCTCCCCCATGGGCCCAGGGGGTGGAGGGGGGGGCGAATGATGAGCGTGACGGGCGTCAGCACGATCTGCTCTGGCTCTCTAAAGCGCCGCCGGCTCTGTGGATCGAGTGGGCGCGCAGTTCGCAAACAGAGGGGTGGCAGCGTCCAGCGCCTCCTTTGAACAGTATCGAAAACTGCGTCAGGGTGTCGGCGCCGTGATTGACGTGATAACTGCTCTCTTTGTGTAGCGAGCTTCCTCTCAACCTCTTCGACGAACTCCCTCCTCCCACCCCCGTGCAGTAGACGCCGGTTGATTTTGTCATGGTTCCAGACAGTTGCGTGCACTGCAGGTTCTGCGCGCGGCAAGCCGACGCGAACCCGGAAAACAAGAGGGCGATGATCGCGACGAGCCCTGACATAGACGAGCTGCAATGCGTCGCCTGCTTTGCGCCATGCCCGGGCCTCTTGCACTGGCGCGCGCGCAGGATCGAGGACAAAGTCTGGGCGAGGCGCGCGCTCCCCCCCATTGTGGTAGAGCGTCGGGCCTGCGTTGAAGAACGCATTGGCGAGTTTGAGGTGGTGCCACTCATTAAATTCCCGCAAGAATCCACCATTAGTTTTCAGCCTCGGCTTCGCATGGCCCGATAGCAGACGAACGAGTTGGCGACCAATTACCTTCTTCCCGAGAGAACCCCGCATGTCCATTAGCATCCAAAGCACCCGCAGGTACGCGCCGATGGGGCATGGCATCCAGAAGAGCGCGGAACCCCCCAAACCATATGTTGCTGGTTTGTTTGTCACTGGCGTATTCGGGCTCCGGAGGGGCATGCCCCGCGAAGAAGCACATGTCGATCGCGGGCGCTTTAACTCGCACTCCCCCCGCGCGCCCTCTGATATCACGATGTCCCCCGAAGCCCTCCCAAGTGAAAACTCTCCGAATATATTGTTTACCAAAGAAACGACGATGAAGAAGAACAAGACCTGCACCGCGCCTGCGATTGCCTCCCTGATCCCTTCGAACGCAATGAAACACGTCGACCCTCGACAAGGTGTGCTCGTCCTCCGTGCCAACGTGCGTCGCAGGAAGAGCGACTGCTGCACGTGGCCAGAATTGCCCGGCAATGTCCGCCCATCTGACCGACTGCCGCATCGAGCAGGGATTGTGCGCACACACTTGCAGAGATGGCATGTCGAGATCAAGAACAAGATACCACGGAACCTGCAATAGTGAGGAAACGTCCAACGAGAATGGGGCATTGCGGTACAGTGGGGGCGCGCATCAAGAAACGGGATGTCTTTCGTCAGGGTGCCTCTGGTTTCTTCGCGCCGCGCGTTGCGCTATGGCTTCTCGCGGTTGCCAAGATTTTCGCGTCCAGGATCCCTGGGTTTCTTCCCAGTTGCACTTCGGGCAATCAGACGGCCCGCTACCGAAGAACCCCCCAGGCGCCAAAGGCTCCTTGAGTTGACTGCATCCTTACGACAATGCAGCACTCCCCGCGCACACGTGCGAGCGCGCGTGCGCCCTGGCCTGATAGGGCTTGCATTGTCAGAATTGGCGGTGTATTGCCCAGAATACAGAGGTCGCTATGTTGGCCTGGCAACTAGAGTCCACCCGTAGCGGTGACCGATGAGATTTTGAAGTTAACATGGGCTCTTGTGAATGTTTTTCTATTGTAGACAATGCAGCACTCCCTGCGCGCGTGCGCGCGCGTATGCGCGCGCGCTCGCCGTGTGCCCTGGCCTGATAAGGTTTGCATTGTCAAAACAGGATCTGTACTGTCCAGAATAGAAAAGTCGGCATGTTGGCCTGGACACTAAAGTCCACCCTGACTGGCGACCAATTGGGTTTTGAAGTTCACATGGGTTCTTGTGAACGTAATCTTTTGTGGACAACACAGCACTCCCCGCGCACAAAGCGCGCGAGTACGCGCGCGTATCCGCGCGCGCGTGCGCTCCGTGTGCCCTAGCCTGATAAGGCTCGCATTTCCAGCAGAAGGAGGTTCTGTATTCTCCAGAATACAGAAAGTCGCCATGTTCGCTTGGAAGCTACAGTCAACCCTTAACGGTGACCGCTCGGGTTTTGAAGTTAACATGGGCTCTTGTGAGTGTTTTCTCATGTGGGCAATGCAGCACTGCCCGCGCACGTGGGCGCGCGAGCGCGTACGCGCGCGTGCGCGCCGTGTGCCCTGGCCGGATAAGGTTTGCATTGTCAGCATTGGTTCTGTATTGTCCATGATACAAAAGTCGCCATGTTGGCTTGGACACGAAAGGCAACCCTTAACGGTGACCGATTGGATTTCGAATTTAACATGGGCTCTCGTGAATGTGGGGTGCGGTGAAATTTCGCGGCCCACCAATGCGCCTGCGGTTTCTTGGAACCTTGGGACTGGCCGTCGGGCGTTAGCGGCGACGAGAGAATATGTTACGGGGTTTCGCGGGGCACCCGAGGATTCCCTTTGACCACGGGGACGCTGCCGCAAGCCCATGTAGTTTACATCCCAGCTCGCCACGGGTTTCTCCCCAAGCCGTGCTGGCGTATTCTATGAGCGCGGCCTGCCAAGAAACTGCTCGGGCTAGGGCCCCCTGGGTTTCTCCTTGCGACGCCGTCGGTTATGAAACCCAAGCCCAGGGCAAGAAACTTCGCGGCTTTTCAGGGTTCGGTTTCTTGCGATGGTTTCTCGCGGCCGCGCCCCCACTGTATCGGACCGAGTGGTGGGACAGAACATGCCGTAAGCCGTCGGGTATGCCGTTGCACCCTTCAACGGCTGGGAGGAGGGAGGAGGAGGAAGAGGAGTGACCAGAAGTGACCATGAAAGGACGAGCGTCCGCAAAACTAAACGGGTTTGGCGGGGACTAATCCGACGATGAGTCCCCGCCTTCACGGTGAGGGATCCTGGTGGGTCGGCGGGCCGCTCCACCCACACCTCCCTCACAGAAGGGGGGCTGCTGCATTCCACTCTCCTCCCGAGCCTCCCTCGCACGCTGGACCGCGTCCGAAGCTTCACGCTGCACTCTGGCCAGCTGCACAGCCTTCGGGGGTCCCCTGTGCGAAGGAAAAATGCCTCGACGAATCCTGTCAAGGTTCTGGGCTCCTTTGGGGGAGGGCTCCTGGCAGGGTCTTGCGAGCCACCTACC